CAATGCATCTCCTGTGAGTAAAATATAGATAAATTGTACCAAAACTTTCTACTTTTATATTGTTGCTGTTATGGATATGAGATGATGCTGAATTCAGTGAGGAAACATGAGGGAGGTTTTTCTTGGCCTTTATGCATTCATTGCAACATAGATTTTGCATATGATTCTTTCGTAACATCATGTTCCCTAAATCGAAAATATTTCCAAACAACAGACATGATCTGTTTTCAGAGGCTGGCTCTTCAGCATGTGCTCCAGAGATTAGATTTTTCATTCGTCCTCATTATTACTCCTCTAGTCTGGACTGCTGCCACTGCAGGGGTGAGTGCTCAGTGGCATGACGGCTCTCCAAAAGTGAAGCCAAAACATCTTGATCACTCCCTGGTGGCTGGCTGTTAGTTTAGAAAGCACTTGAATTGATGTCTGTGAGCAGAGCATGAATTTTAAATGTCAACATTGCAGTCGGTTGAGCTCATTTAATTGTGATTAAAAAGATGAAATTGTGATTGGGATTAATATTCATTTAATTGTGCAGCACTATTCTGAACACAGTCACATATTCAATCATAAATAGGTCTGCACACTTAACCAATCAGATTTATGTATGTTTTTCTTTTGTTTTGTTTTGTTTTCTCCCTGAATGGTTCCTGATTTGTTTTTACCTTCTTTGTACAAGTTGCAATTTCACAGTGCCAGTTCTGGCAAGATATACCTTGGTTTTATTTTTTCCAACTCACAAAAATACTAATTTTAACAAGGTTGCGTTGGCTTTTTAATCCACCATATATACTGTATGATTTACATTTGCAATATAAGTGCTTTATACTAACTTCCCCCTCCTCCATTGTCTGTCTGAAAGCTCAGATTTTACCTTGTGCCTGCTTTACACAGGGCATAGCTTTAACCTTCTTTGTTGGTAAAGTCAGCCTGGGGTCATCTACAGTCAGACCCAGCACTGTGCCTGAGGGGAGCTCTCCGGTTGAATAGATGCCTGGATAAATTACACAGTGGTGGTTAGACAGAAAAGTAGAAACTCACACACAACCTACTGGCAAAATAGGAAATGAGGGGGAAAAACACAAAGGAAAATAAGAATAAACCTTTTAGTATGTGAAAGACATCAGTCTGTTGTTGATGCAGACTCATCTTGCTCTCATCCTTGCAGTGCTGAGGCCACCAGAGGGTGGAGGCCTGGGATGTATCCACTTCCTTAAAAACAAACAAATCAGTTCAGTTATTCAGAGTGAAACACAAATTCATTTCAGAGGCTGGTTAAGTTGAAAGCACCATAATCCTTACATTACAATCTGTAGCCGCTTCCAAAGTTTCTGCCAGCACAGAATGGGACTGTGGGCCAATCAGACGATAACGTACAATCTCCATTGTGAGATCACTGCAACAGATGCACAAAAAAAGTGAATAAAAAAACACTCAAAGCATTTACTGTGTCTGAATCCAGCTACACTAACTTTATAACTATTCCCGTTGAGCTTGACTTCCAGGTAATTGGGGTGGTGGGTAATCTTGTTCCATCTCCCAGGATCTTCTTCGCAGGAGGTCCAGTGAAATCCTTGGAGCTTCGCTTTCTCTTGGTTCCAGTTATCGGCTTGGCCTCAGGTTTGTTTTCAGGTTTTGACTCTGACTCTAGGATGGGATTCGCCTCTGCAGGTGTAACCACTGGTACAACTGGAGGCAGTACAGCCTCACAACACTGGCACACAGTTTGTAATTCGGGGAGAAGGTCCTGGAGAGAGGACACATTATCTGGAATGAACACTTTCACTAAGGTTGTTTCTTTATTGACCCATTTATCTACTATAATTCAAAACTTTCCATTAACTAATGTACAACTAGTTAGATTTCTAAACCCCATCATACCTGCTTAAGAGTGGGATGAGCCCAGATCCACAGCTGTCTGTGAGTTGAGCCTTGTGTACGGGGTCTCCAAAGGAATGTGACAGGGCCGAGGGGCTGTGAAGGGTACCGTCCTGCTTTGTATACTGTAACACTACCCTGTCTGCACCCTGACAGACACAGTGCTGCAGCAAATGTAGGACCTGGAAACAAAAATCAAAGCATAAAGCTCCACTACTTAAACTAAATGTAGAAACTCTGAACACACAGAGGAAGACTGCATAGGAAAAACAGGAAAAGTTACAGGATAGCGAAGAAAAAGAAGACTTCTTGGTTCTTACCGGCCTGCTTGCTGGTCATCTGTGACAGAGCAGCCAGCAGCTTGTCTTCCTCTCCCTGTAGTTCTATGCAGCAGTAATAAGAAAGATCCTGAGTACACAGAAGCAGAGAGGTTGAGCAAATTTTCCTGGCAGTTATATTCCATTATGTACCATAAATAAAGCTCAAAACACACTCTACTTCTGTGTGTTTACCTGTAGGAGGCAGTGGCTGCTCATGGCTCTGTAGCAGGGCCTGTAACATTTGTATGTGGGTCTGTCCCCGAGGCAGTAACCCCACTTTTTAACCATGTGGAAGCGCTTGGCGTGCCAAATATGAGTCTCCAGCCAAATGTTCTTGCGCTGACGCCGGTTGAACTCCAGTAGCAGGTTTCCGTGCCGCCGGCGGGCCTTGCGGCTCTTGTTCTTTGCCTGTTCCTTCTTCTTCTTTGAGCCAGCTTGGAGGCTCTTCTCCCGCTGGTGGAGGAACGCAACAGAAATGTCACTATGTCAGACTAACCCAGAGATGGAAAGTTTAGAAATGGGTAAGAGGAGGCATTAAGGGTTGAGTGAGACATTTAGTTGAAAAATAGTCCATGTCCTGAATTTTACCATTCTGTTGGCCACATCTCTCAGTCTGCGAGGGAGCCGCTTGGTGTTGTGGCTCATGGCCCGTCTCCTCATGTGTTTGGGAAGAGCTCCAAACACATGGCTGCTGCCTGTTGTCTTGGTGACGGCCTTCAGCATAGCCTTCACCTCCGCAGACCTGGCCCTGGCAAAAGCTCCAGCTGGGTGGGGAAGACAAAGATGAAGGGACTGGATTTATAAATGTATTTGCAGTGCCAGAGTGACTTCATGATTAGTTTGCTCTTGAAGAATGTCAGAAAAAAAAAAACATCTAAACTTTACCACATGCTGCAAGTAGATCTAAAAATTCAAGCAGTAAACTGATCATTTTGTGTAGCCTGTACAATAAAATAATGATTGGATCTCTTGGAGGAATGTCTTTACCAGTGATGTACTTAGGCATCTCCTTTGCGTACCCTCCTCCATCTTTATGATGCCCACGGACCCATCCACTTCGTTGGGGAGGCTTCTTCTGTCTTTCTGCAGAAGCACGCACATCAGATGGACCACCTTTGGGAAGAATATCATTTTGTCATTTTAGTGTAAACTGAAAATGAGAATCTGTCTTATGCTGGATTTCCTCCGTAAATTTGTGCTTGAATACATTTTTTTCAATCACTTTACACACAGTGAATCTATGTTTGGGTGCTCCAGAATGATAGTTCTAGTCTAAATCGTTTATTTTATCCTCAAGCATTCTGTGTGAGTTAACATGGCATAAAACATTGCTGTTCCCTTAAGATAAACTCTTGATAGTCCTGCTTGTGCAGTAAAGATTGGAAATAAAGATGAACACTATCCATTAAGTTAGCAGAGGAGCTGACTCCTGCTCTGCGTATATTTAGTCTTTTAAAAAATTCATATTTTGTATTTATTCAATCCTAAAACTTTAACTACCATCTTATGCATTTGATTCTATCTCAGTAAAAAGCAGGCCCAATAAAAACGCAGTGTCAGATGGTATGCAGACTGAAACTTGCTGACCCTGCAGCAGTAACAGGAGATGAGGTCATGGGATAAAAGGGGAGCAGTGAGGTGGGGGAAAAAAGCATCACAGGAACAAAGTAACATGAAGAGACAGGTCACAAATTAAAGGAAACACCAATAAAGGTGTCTTAGTAAGGGGGTGGGCCACTATATGCCACCAGAGCAGCTTCAATGTGCTTTGGCATTGATTCTCCAAGTTTCTGTCACCCTACCGTAGGGATGAACACTGCCACATCTGGTGTTTTGATGGTGGTGGTGAAGAATATCAGTTCAAAACACTTATTTGCTCCCATTTACTCATCCTGTAGGTGACCAGTCCCGTATGAAATGTTGTATCAATGGATAAAGATGATCACTCAAATCATTTCTGTATTGATTTGCAGTGACCCTTCCTTCTATGGAGATAAATGAATCTAAACAATGACAACAAAACACCCCCAAAGCATGAGAGCCACCACATCCCCTCACTGTAGAAGTGAAGAGTTAAGTTTTCCTTAAATTATCACGGGTTTGTACAACCTTCCGTACCAGGTAAACAAACAGACAGCGTACCGGAGGTGTCTCCTTCGTTGTGTGCGTTTCTCTCCACATTACGTGAGGAAGATGAATACTGCACACTGGCGGGCTGATTTCTCATCTTCTTCTCCCTCATTTTGACTTTTGCTGCAGACATTTTCTGTAGGACACAAGGGAAGCACGTTGGAGACGTCAGCTGTTTGCTGAATGACAGGCTGACACATTGCAAGCAGCGACGTGACTCGTCGCTAACGTTAGCTTGCTAGCGACGTTAGGTCACGTAAAGTTGGTTTGTTATAGTCAACAACAACTACAAATAAAACACGTATACACAAGAATGCTACACTGGAATTACATATCATAGGGTTACCTCAGGATTCCCCAGTATGAAAGTGTGTCACAAACTTCTATTCAAATGAAGGCGTCCTCTCTTTTTACTGTTAGCTAACATGTGAGTTTTCCTCCTCATGCTGGAGTCTTGTTTGCTTCCGGATATGCGGTGTTCATGGGATTTGTAGTGTATTGACGCAACAAAAAAGTCATACCCATAGCCGGTACACTTTTTCCTAAAGTTGGGACTTAATATCTCACGTTTAAGATACATGTGACAATAAAATATGCGTGTTTTTCTGTACTAGTACCAAAATAAAAAATAAGAAAGCATTGCTGCCCGTCTATGCCACCATTTACGGTACAGCAGCTCTGACGTTCACATGTCGTCTTGTACCTTTCCCTACTCTCTGCAGCTCTCTGTTGAATAGCTTCTTGTTTCATTCCATTGATTTGACAGATTCCAGTATAATGGCTTCACTAATCAGGAGGATTATCAGCACAACTAAAGCTCCTGCTGCTATCGGCCCATACAGGTGAGAAAAGCTTGGAAGTCCAACCACCTGCCTCAAAGCAAAGTTTAGGTTCCAGCCTGGACACAGCTGACGCAGAACCAGTCAACATAACTCTCGGGCCACTTGTTTAATCACTGTTGGTAATATGTTGAGAGACTACTGAGCTTTTATTCAGTCTGACCATACAGTGGAGTTACAGTGGATGTTTCGTCCAGTATTGGAGGAACAGTCGCCCAGGGATGTGTTTGAAGGAGCAAAGTGCATGCTTTTGGATTTTGCACTTTAAACTCAGTAAATTATTGAAGGGTTAATAATTGAATAAGTTAATAATGAATAAGATCAGCAGCAAACCGTGCTTATGATTCTGTGTTTGTAGCTTTCTGAAAACAGTTGTCTCAGTACGTTATATTGGATGAAATTCACAGTTTCTGTGTAATCACTGGCTGACATATGGTATTACAGGCAATTTGACATTTAGCATGTTAACAGATCATGCAGGGGGCGCATCTTTACCAGATAATTCATTGCCATTTTTAAAGGCCCTCCTTTACTCAAATGCACTGCGCTATGCATGTTTATAGCCTGTTGCAGAAACATGGTGGTCTAATTCTTCTGTTGAAAGTGGAAAGTTTCTTCATGCTCACTCTGAGTTTGAGACAAGCAGCTGCAGGCAGAATTTGTGACATCACAGCGACAGACAGGCGACAAATAAAGGAAAAACCCTTGGCCCCTACAGTGAGGTGACCCAGTGGCTCTGTTAACTGTGGGGGAGACTGACTGCAAATCAATACAAAGTTATTCTGCGTGATCACCTTCATCCTATGATGAAAGACTTCTATACTTAGGACGCTGACCTCTCCCAGGATTGCAATGCTCGAGGGCATGAGGAGTCACTAAGTGGTTTGATTATGAGTATGAAAATTATGTAAATCATGTGCTGTGGCCAACTGAACACCTGTGGAGGATTTTGGACTAACATATTAGACAGCACTCTCTACCACCGTCATCAAAATATCAAATGAGGGAAGCATGATGTTCTGTTCTATACAGTACAGTTCCTGAGACTGGGAAGATCAATGCATCAAAACACCTTACTAACACACTCTGTGTCAGTTTTCCCTTTAATTTGTCACATGTCTGTTGCCAAGAAGCCAATCCTCATCTGACACAAGTGTGAGCTGGAAAGTTTAAGCACATACAATGAGAAAGGTCTTTCAGTGATGTAAGAAACATCTTGTGTCTAATAGTTAAACTTCATAAATGAAAAATATTTACATATTCATAGATTCAGAATTTTTGACTGATGGAGCAGGCATTGTCATTTTGTGAATTTCCAAACCAGCAATGCAACTAATGAGAAAATCTCAGCAGAATCAGATTATTATTCAAAATAGAGAACTGTGATATGAATATAATAAATATGAATGAATATGCTTGGGGGGAATCTTTATAATCCCACAGTTTAATATCTGCATTTACAATTTAATCTACATGAACTCAGGGAGTTGATGAAAGGGGGAAAAAGTGCAGGTTTGGTTAAGCAGACATACAACTTTTTTTACAGCCTAATTTCTTCTTCATCAATAACTTTAGAAAGTAGCTCTCCAGATTTCTCTCCACGCTCCCTCCATAGCAGCAAATAACACTAGAGGGACAACTTGATTTCATACTTTTTCTGAAGGAGATAAACTCTGTTTTTAATCCGGTGTTGCTAATTCTTGGTTCCTGTTTGTGTCTCCCAGCCAAGCAGTGGTGGTGGATCGTACCATGTATATATCAGGACAGCTGGGGATGGATCCTGCCAGTGGACAGCTGGTGGAAGGTGGCGTTCAGGCTCAGACCAAACAGGTGACACCCCACAAAGCACTGCCGTCTTTATAAACACGAAGCACACTGGAAACTGACTAAGACATCACTAGATTTTTTTTAGTCAAGTTGTTTACTATTATGATGAGTAAAATGGGGTTGCGTCCTGTTATTCTGCTTATCATTATTCTGTCTCACTAAGTTGATGCATCTTAAGTTTCTCATATGTGAGCCATGAAGAGGCTGATACATGGATTAATATGAATTAATGAAGTGAATACATTTGAATGCACTATCTGACAGGAAATCTAATTCAAAATAAGTGATAATGGAACACCAGCAATGCAAAAGGTTCAGGTATGGAATGCAAGTCGGGGATGCTTTTAAAATAGTGCCATGGACACTTAGGAGATAGTTTATTTGTCAGTTAACTTTATGTGTTTAGAATTCTAGTGACCAGAGAACTAATCATGTCAGTATAATTTTGGGACTCTGTGGGGACCATAAGTTGCAGGACTCTTCTTGTCGCTGAAGATGGTTCACTCTTGCTTGGATGTTTGGGCATGTTGTCATGCTACAGAATTAATTTAGGACTAACTAGATATCTTTTTGATACTTCCGCTTGAACACTTAACATGCCTAAAACCTTTGCACAGTGCTGTACATTGGCACTGACAGTATTTCTTTTTCTCAGGCTCTTGTGAATATGGGTGAAATCCTTAAAGCTGCTGGGTGCGGTTATGAGAATGGTGAGAAAGACTTTACTGACTTTAAAATGTTTGTATTCTGAGCATATGTTGTGGTGGAGGAAGTAATAAGATATTTTACCTAAATAAAAGCAGCAATACCGTAACTAAAAAATATTCCCTTACAAATAAAGAGATGCATCCCAAAGCTACATTTACATAGCTAAAAGTGTATTACTATTATCAACAAATTGTACTGAAATTATAAAAGTAAAAGTCCTCATTACACAGAGAAATGGGCTGTGACAGTGCTCCATTTTGATATGTTGTACTATTTGGTTCACATTATGGATGCATAAACATGCAAGTGGAATACAGTAGTAGACAGAAGCAGAACTCATTTGATCTTTATTTACATACTACCAGATGGCAGTGGAATTTTTATAATTCATTGTATTTTACATCATCTGTTGTGTCCTCATAGCTTATTAAAGTACTAATCTGCTGCAAAGTAATTACTCATATATGTAGTGAAGTAAAAACCACAATATTTCCCTCTGAAAAATAGTGGAGTCAAAGTAGCATAAAGTTAAATTACTTTGCACCACTACATGTACAGTGTGTAGTTGAATTCTTTCCATCATTTACTGCAGTCCAAATCATGTATTTTCTTATTGTTTCCTGCAGTCGTCAAAACCACTGTGCTCTTAGCCGACATGAATGACTTCACCAATGTCAATGACGTGTACAAGCAGTGTAAGTATGTCAGTATTTACAGTTTTCTGTTGCTGTTCATAATAGACCATCACATTACCCGAGGCCTCAAGCAAAGGCTCGTCACGTCCCTCTTGCAATACAAAGAGAGCCACTAGGTGTCAGACCAACCCAGACAACCTGCTTTAGCCAGACGTACATACTGCTCACTAAGCTGGTGGGATTTTACTTAGTTCGCCTGTATATACACAGTCTGCCTAGTCCTTTTTTGGACATACCTTACTCTTCATGAAGGTATTTTTCTGAACTCTTTGGCCATTTTTGCATTAATTGTGAACATCTGTACATGAGGTCAATCACTCTTAGCATTATATTTACCTGGACATATTCTGAAGATAAACTTTGTCCTTGGATTTGCCTCTTCATATTATAAATATTCCCCAGAATGTCCAGAGCAAGTACATATATGACACTAATGTTAAGAAACATACTGGCTGTGTCAAAACACTGGGACAGGAACTGTTTGCATTTACTGAGTCATATTGCAGAGTGAAACCTGAACTGCTGCTGGCACTGGATTAAGCTTCATGTAAATGTCAGACAATGTGCCACATCTGATGCTCCAAAGATGGCAGAGATAATCCAAGAAAAGCTCTCCTATCCATTTCATTGATATTCAGGTGCATTTCTAACACCCATTAAATCCTCAGGTGCTCTTAGATTGATTGGATGTTTAAAAAAAAAAAAAGACTTTAGGCACTTGGGTGGACCATTAGGGATAAAAAACCTTAAATACAAATTAACTAACACATTAAAATATATGTGGCAGCACATTTCCCTCCTTGACAGTATCAGTCAGTTGGATTTAATTTTTTAAAAAACTGTAAATAACTGCTGTATATTGTTTTTGATTTACTACAACACTTGTATATGACTGGAGGTGCAAACCCAGGTGTCACTATATGTTTTGCATCCTCAGTTATTAATTCAGCACAGTCAAACTATGAAAGGTGTAATCCCCTGTTCTCCTTTCTCTGCACCTTTGCTTTTGAAGACACACAGACACAGGTGTTTGCACTTATTGCAGCTGATTAGACTTTTGGTATGGATGTAATTAGGTGGAGCTGGAACAGCGTGTCATTGCCACACCTCACAAACCAATAACAATGATAGCAGTATAAATTCACCCATCCTTTGACTGCAAAACTAAAAACAGGATCAGAGATTTGTCAGTTGCACATAGACCATATACACACACTGTCACATATCATTACTGAGGCTTTATTGCAACACATTGTCCATTGTGTGTCCTATAGTGTGGTTGTTTTCTGTGTTGTGTTATGATGTTAAAGTTATTGTTGGGGCTTTGGTCCCAATTCCAACTACCTACTAAGTGTATACAATATTTTATATCTTTTTTCTATAAATTATATATTATATAGTAAATCAGAGTTTGCAGAAAAATCTCATCTTGCCAGTCAAAATTCACTAAACAAAGTAACCTGATAGCAGGGTGGTTATCAAGGATACCATACGGGTGCAAATGTTCTGAGCAGAGTCAAGTCAAACATTTGCTGCAAATCATTCTTCTACACTTCTTGCATATATATTTTTTTCTCCACTATATCTATCGAATACAGGTAAAATGTCTAAAAGTCCCTCTTCACTCATTGATCAAACCTCTAAAACCCCATCCCTATATATGAAAGTTATAAATTCAGATGCTTTTTCTATAATCTCTTCCTGCCTTAAAATGAC